AAAGCGGTTGTCTTCCTCCAAACAAATTCTCCCTCAAATTCATTGGGTGGGGATAAAATTCTGGGCAGTTGGTTCCGGTTGAGATTCCAATGTTGACTCAGGATCCTGGTTCATGGTTGGGGTACCTTTTTCTACATTGTTCGCCTTGAATCTCGATGTTTTGGTTATTCTATCATCAATGGGAAAAGGGGGTTTCTTACTACTAAGATCAGTGCCGGGGGGAGGAGGAGGTTCATTTCCCTATCCCGAAGCAGGGCCAGTAGGCCCGCCAGTCATGGACTTTTTTGAGAGTTTTCTCGAAAGGCTTCTATACAGAAAAAATCATTTATTTTTAAGCATTTATAAGATCATTTTATTTCCCAAAATAATTGTCTTATTTGATTGAATATTTTCATATGATATATAAGACAATCATTTGATGGTGAGTGTAATAGACAAATCATGCAAGAGTAACAATATCTAATATCCTTAATATACATTCCCTCATTTACTCCGTATCATTTTCCCGTTACAATGGGCAAAACTGAAGTTAGAATTGACTTGGGTAATTTTCTTTTGGCCACGAAAAGATTACACATAAAAGAAAGAAGTTTTTGGCTTTGATTAATTCAATGGGTGTTCAAAATCCCTATCTGATGTTCCGACTAGTTTAGTTTCGAACTTGGTAAGTTAATTTATCTTAAGAGATAAACATATCCCAACTAATATTTTAATTACTACAACGCTTTGTACAACACTTCATGTTACACTTAGGTTGCGTTCTTTTTGCAATAATGGAAATGAAAGTAATGGCAATTTGATTTCGTTTCTTACCATTACGGTGTTTCGTAAAAAGTAATGGATAAGAGATTAACTTTTCTTTGTAATCAGATAACCTACTCTCAGCAATCATTATCCCACCTGATTACTCTATTTATCTTTTCAATCTATAATAGGGAGAAAAAAAAATCAAAAGGATGCTCTAAATTAGGCACGTCAAAATTTTTGTGCAGGAGAAATTTGGTTCTCTATTTTCTGATTTTCACTTTGTTTATGATTTTATTGTGCAAATTTATTTTTTTCTTAATATTTATTTAAAATTTAAATTTTTATCCTCATACCTATGCAAAAAAGAAACACATCAATAGTCAAATAATACCTATTCCAATTCGTATTTGCAACATGTCAAAGGTAATGAAATATTCCTTTAATGAATGATTGTTTTCCCATCAGAATTGAGATTTCCATTTCCCCAATTCCCTCTCCAGACAAAAGAATACAGACCATAATATTATAGGGGTATAGTTTAAATAATTGACAAATTATTTTTGTAAGTTTTTCTTGTAATTTTTTCCATATATTTATTACTGTTCAAACTGAAAATTCAAATTAGACAGTAATTTTGGTACAGAGAAAGTAGTAAATTTGGAAAGAAATTTGTTGCTTATTAATAGAAACAATAAAATTTGGGTCATTTAATGGAAAAACATAAAATAAGCCAGGTTTGGAAAAATATGCTAAGCAACCAGTCATTTGATGGGGAGAGTGCGACATCCCTAGTCCCACATAAGAAGAGATGAGAAATAGTTGTACATGTATGCCACGTGTGTGGCTTACTTAGAATTTGAATTAATTTTTTTTTGTTACAACTTACAATAAAGAAAGTAAATACAAAAGGAGTCATTTTTTGTTGAACAAGTACGAAAACCAACTCGCTGTAAAGTTAAGCTACCTGCATTGATACTCTTGCCGTGAAGAAATGGTTATTTAGTTTGTATGTTAATTATTATTTTAATTTGTATTAAAATTAAAAATCAAAACTAAATCATTTTTGGAGCATAGAGAATACAAAACATGGCAAAAATGGCCCATTGTAAAAAAATAAAATAAAATTCTTGTTGAATGGAAGAAGTAGAGTTTGAGTCATTTAATATGAGTTCAAATTAACTCAACTAACTAGCAGAATATTATCTTTACTAAATTACTCACTTGTAGTCCATTCGGAAAATTTTTACCCTGTAACCTAATTATCAAAACCTTTCAAAACTTTCAAACTTCCAACACTTAAAAAACTTAGATTTACAGTATATGGTGTCCCAAAAAAATGGCGCATCGTGACAACGATACTCAAAGAGGCTCAGAAATAGCTCAAGTCAATTTGACCAAAATCTTAATGAATAAAAAAGAAAATGATTCTGTGGTGCAAGCCGGCAACCAAGTGGCTCGCACCCCATAGGGAGCCGAAAGCAAATCGGCTCCTAAGTGTGAGAGAGCCGAGTAGAGCCCGACTCTCATGGATGGAAGCCGGTTTTGACGCCGGCTTCCCTTTCAATGAGAGGCCGGCTCTCTCACACTAGGGAGCCGGTTTGCTACTGGCTCCCTCTGGGTTGTGAGCCACTTGGCTGCCGGCTTGCACCTCAGAATCATTTTTTTTTAATTTAGTCTTAAATAATTTTTTGTATTGTAATTATATTGAAATGATAAATATTTGTTGTTTATATTTTTCTAATTTAATTAAATTTAAATGAGAAGTTGTTGATTAGGTAGGTCGTACTTACATTAATATACTTAGTTTGTTATGTATTAATTTATAAGTTTTAATAATTATTATTTATGTAAATAAAATTTAATTTAGTGTTAATTAACTATTTTCTAAGGTAATTGTTAACTAGGTGTGTCGTACTTAATTTAATACACTTAGTTCATTAGTTATGTTTTATATGTATAATTTGTTTTTAAAAATTTGATATATTTATAACATGATTATGGTGGTGACGGTGTTGATTACAGTTATTATTTCAACACTAACACTAGATTCGCAACTCTTGATTCCCCTATAGAATGGGCGAGAAATGTTGAGAAATCTTTTTGTTTTGTGCTAGTTATTGCGTCAAAGAAAAGTGAGACGAAGAAATTATTGAGATGTTCAAAGGGTATTCATTATAGAGAGTCGGACAATTTGGTGTGGCGTACAAAGGCGCAGTGTTGTGGATGCTCGTTCCAACTTATAGCCCAAATTTGCAGTGACAATACTTCTATTGGAATTCGTACTGATGCGGTCCTAAGTGGTGAAAAGTGGAAAAAATTAAAATTTGAAATTTTTTTCATTTTCTTAATTTTTATTATTAAATAATATTTATTGTTATTTTAATATTAATATAATCTAAATTTTTTTTCTTTTACATGAGTATTCTAAAAATATCTCTGACTTGAGTGGGGTCAACGGTGGTCTTGACGGAATTTTGGACGGAAATGAAAATAGTTCAAAATAGTTTCAAATTGAAATGTAAAGTCTCACTCCACATACAGTTTAGTCTTTAATGGAAGTACACAATTTTTTATTAATTTAGTCATACTTGATGTTTGACAAGAAATGTACCCTCAGAAAAATATCAGACAAAAATTTTTAATTGAAAGCAACCTGATGTTTGTCTTGATTTCTTGGATCGATATTATGTGGCTCCAAATTAATCCTTGTGGCGTTTACAATACAACAACAAAGGAACAGCGAAAGCTACAGCTTTGTAACCATTCGTACTGAAAAAAATTTAGATTAATTCTATTTTTTCCACTACTTAGTAAAAGTTTTTTTTCCCTTTTTTGCTACAGCAAAAAGGTAAGATTTTTTAAAAAGGAAATTTAAAATTCCTTTTTAGATTAATATCTAAAAGTAAAACACCTCCGAAGTTACTCACATTATCTTAAATACCCTCAAAGGTATCACAAAAATCTAATACATCCCTGCATTATACTTCTAATCATCAATCTCATTCTCAGGGAAAAAAAGACCATGTGTGGAAGGACAATATTTCCCTTCAAGAAATGTATCTTGAGCAAATAATATCATCTTCATTGACTACTTTTGTTTTTTTAAAGAAAATCTTCGACTACTTCAACTACCATACATGCCTTGACACCTCCAACACCACCACTATCTCTGGCAACTTCAAACCCCAAATTCTAGCTCACTACTTTCAGACGAATTCTTAATTTTCACCACCTAAATTCTATTTTCTAGCAATAATCCCTCAAAATTATTTACACCCCTAGCACAAAAAAATACAATCAAACCCACCACCATTCCTCTTTTCCTGTCAACTACTTGTCCCTTAAGAAAAATCCAGAACCCCCAACCTCCACCATCATAAATCATAATCAACACTAAAAGCTACCATTATCATCCAGTTTTGTCCTCGCCAAAACCCCACCAACATCGTTACCGGAAACGCCCCATCGCCATCAAACAACTTACCGCTACAACCCGCCCAAAGCCCATCAGCACCATCAACTCATCACCAAATTACTCTCTAAACAATAAAAACCAAAAAATTGACCCATCCACACCATGCGTGGAGGAGATGGAGAATTGGGTCCCAACTTGAGAGCACGAATGAAGAGAAAGAGAAAAAGGAGCAACGACTGATTATTACAATTACAATCAGAGATTGAATTTAGTCGATTTTTTCTTGTAAGGAATGAGTTTTACTGATGTCGTTAAGTTGTTATTGTAAATCAGTAGGAATTTAAAGTAACAAGTAAATGGTAGGAAGAATAAAATAATGATAAAAGAGGGGCGAAAGACCGGTCAAAGGTAAAAATAGAATTTTTTTTTTTTAATTTTTAATTTTTTCATCTTGAATCTTTTTACCTGTAGCAAAAAAGGCAGAAAATTTTTACTGAGAAGTGAGACCCACTGGGGTGAAAAGTAAAAAATTTAGAAAATAGAAATTTTTAATATTTTATTATTGAATAATAACATATTATTTTATATCAATATAATACGTAATTTTCTTTTTACATGTAGTGTTCAAGAAATATCCCTGGCTTGGGTGGAGTCAATGGTCGTCATGACGGAAATCGGGACAGAACAGTGAAAATGGACCAAAATAGTTTTAAAACGAAATGTAAAGGCTCAATTCATATACATGTTGATGTACAGGATCAAAATTTAAATTAAGCTAAATGTAAAGAACCATTTATGCAGTTTAGTCTCGATTAAAAGTGTACCTAGAAAATATTGTGTTTGCTATCTTGGAACTCTCATGCTTTCTTCATCAATTTGGATAGACAAAATTTGACTAGAAAAAAGTTATTTCGATTGTTTCAGTGATTCGAAAGCCATTTAGCATTGTAGCATTTATGCTCAAAACATAGGATAGATCGGTTTTTGTAGCAAAAGACTTACAATATATCTTAACCATTGTAGCATTTTGAAATAAGAACAAATAATGGAAACACCTCTAATTAGCTAGACTTGCAACAAGAACCAGAGGTGTTTTCCTTGGAGTTACAATACTAGGAGATTCGATCATGTCCAATTCCTCTGGTTTCATTCCACCAGCTAATACAAAGTTGAATTTAAGCATCAAATTCGCAAGCGCGAGTTCAATATTTAACAAGCCAAATCCAGAACCAGGGCAACTTCTCCTTCCAGAACCAAACGGTATCAACTGAAAATGTTGCCCTTTGGTGTCAATGGAGCTGTTCAAGAATCTCTCGGGTCGAAATTCCTCAGCGTTTTCCCACGTCGAAGGGTCTCTTCCAATTGCGAAAGCGTTGATGAGGACTTGAGTTCCAGCTGGAATATCATAGTTCATGATTTTGACACTTTTGCTGGATTCTCGAGGAACAAGGAATGGAACTGGAGGATGCAAGCGGAGACTCTCTTTGATTACTGCTTTCAGATAAGGAAGTTCCTCCAGATCTTCTTCAGTAATTCGATCCGATTCGCATCTTGAGAATCCCCTTAGTTCATCTTGTAACTTAGCCATTGCATTTGGGCTTTTCAGTAGTTCAGCCATTGTCCACTCCAACACTACAGATGCGGTGTCTGTCCCCCCAACAAACACATCCTGCCAATTATTTCATCCCAAAATGATTATTTGAACAAATAATTAGACATATTTGTCACATATTTGGTAGTTATAGGAAATGAAAGTATTAAGAAATTTACCAAAATGATAGCTTTAATCGAATCTCGATCCAGCCCATGTCCTGCGGAATCCTCCTGCTGCTTGAGTTCAAGCAATACATCGATGAAAGTCTGCTGCCCTTTGTTCCCTTCTTTTCCATCCTTATTTTCTGTTTTGCTAATTTCTTGCCTCTTGATTCCTTCTTCAACAATATTTTCCAAATATTCGTCGAGTTCTCTGGCAACCCTTTTCACTCTTGATTCCATTCCATTGATGTGATTAATCCATCCAAGCCATGGAATATAATCACCAACATTAAATGCTCCCAATAGCGAACAATACTCCTCAAATAAATCCTTAAACTTACTCCCGACTTTTTCTCCAGAGTATCTTTTCCCTACCGCTACCCTTGAAATTATATTATTGGCAAGTGTTCCCAATATGTCACTAATACGAATTGGCGAGCCAGACACACAAGATTCTCTTATTTTTTCCACCATTAACCCGACCTCTTCTTCGCGTACACTTCTGAATGATTGAATCCTCTTGTGACTAAGAAGTTGTAGTACACAAATGCTTCTTATCTGTCTCCAGTAGTCACCATAGGGAGCAAATGTAATGTCCCTGCAATCGTATAAAAGTCTTCTTGCAAAGATTGTTTTCGGCCTATTAGCGAAAGTTATGTCATGTGTTCTAAGGATATATTCAGCCGCATTAGCCGAGGAGACAACGAGCACACGTTTGTTGCCAAAATGAAGAAGCATTAAGGGACCAAATTTTTCAGCTAATGATTTGAGAGAGCGTTGAGGAATGGAACCGATTTGATGAAGGTTTCCAATTATGGGAAGTTTTGGTGGAGAAGGTAGGAGGTTGTTTGAAGAGTGATTGATTAGCCATTTGAACATAAACAGTGTGAAAATGAGGAATAAAAGAAGCAAAGAGAGGGAATGTTTTGAGAGCAATAAAGCTAGTGTTTTTTCCTCAAATGAAAATATGGAAATCTCCATTTTCTTTTGCCACTCTATGCAGCTGGCTTAGTGTGTTATATAATGTTGCTATATTGCTTCTATTTATGGTTCGCAGCCTTATTTGTTTTGACATTTTTTCCTCAAATAAAAATCGTTCCGTTTGTTTTAATTTAAGAATGATCCACCATCGGTGTTATACCATGACATGAGCCTGATGTCCTAAGGGTTATTTATTCCTATAATGTATTTGTGTAACTGTATGTCTTGAGTGTTTCTTAATTTAATTGCAACAACAAAAAAAAGAGAGAGAGAAAAGAAAAAAGAAAAAAGAAAACCAAGAAGTAAGAGTTATCCTTCTCTTTTTGCATTTTTTATGATTTCAAAATTTCATAACAATGTATAGTCATTTGTGAATGAGATTACAAGCTATAAATAAGTTAGAACGCATATTTTTCTTTTCTTTTCTTTTATTTGTTCTTTCATCATATATGAAACATTGAACAGCAGCATTACTAGTGGTAACTAGCCTGGAGTTGTGTGCTATCAACCTCTTTTATTTTACTCTAATGTGGTGTGCATATACAGAAACTCACACACGTCTACATTTTACCTGTAAATTATTGACTCCAGTGGGCCAACTTGCATAAATCAATAGACTGCTAATGCATTACAAAAAGAAACAAAGAGTATGTAGGTCCAACATATTACCCAAATTAAAGTAACACCAGTATAACAAAACAAAGACTACAGTAAATAGAGTTCAAGTCAGTCCATGTAACAAAAGGACACCTTTTCAACCACACTCGATGACGTCTTAGTAATTCGTAGATACTCATTATGTTGCCAAAAAAAAAAATCTAATATTGAGATTCAAAATTTATATTAAAAAAGTGGACATTTATAAAATCAATGTAAATTTTTTTGGGAAACAGAGAGAGTGCTCTTTTATATTTTGAAAGAAATGATTGTAGTTACAACGATCGCAGTGATGGAACAGAGGGACAAAAATTGATTAGAAAATTGGACATTTAATCAATTTCCATTTAATTCTAAAATGTTATATGTTGATAGATATCTTCTGGAAACTTGACCTCGGTCATAGAATTTGACAAAACATGTTCCCTAATTTCAAGGTTCTGATAGCAATCGAGAAGTATCTTCGTTCACAGAATTTGCATCATTATAGCGATCCAAAAAAGTAAAAACACGTTCTTATTATTGGCCATGGGTTTTCAAAAAATTTGCAGCTTAATAATTCCAGTGGTCTGAAAAATTACAATGTGCAAGGTGGGTCTAACTGGTGGAGTAGCGGTGTTGGGCGGCCAAATGATTTTGTGAGCTTGTTTGGCCAATATTTTGTTTTGTTTTTTTTTTTGTTTTAGTTTTTTATTTGAGTTTCAGATGTTATTTAAAATGTATTTTGAGAAAAAATTTAAATTATTTGGTTAATATTTTAAATAAAATAATAATATTTTTAGACTACCATCAAACCACTTCCACCACCGTTGCCGCCGCCGGACCGTCAATTGTTGCTGTCGGCCAGCCAGATTCCGACCAAATTTCGGCCAAGTCACCAGAATCCTGCCGGAAACCGGCCGGCCGGTCGACCGGCAGCGGTGGGCGGCCGGCGGTGGACGGTGGCGGCGGAGGTGGTCCGGTGGTGGTGTAAAAAAATGGTACAAAAATAATGTTTGAAATAAAGTTTAAAAAATAAATTAAAAAGTTGTTTAAATAATATTAGATTTTATGTTTGAAATGTGTTTTAAGAGGTAAAATGAGACATAATGCAAAATATTTTGTTGACCAAACAAGCCCTGTATTTTCATCAGTTATTGATTAATATAGTAAATTAGGGTAACCAAGGTTAGATTTATCCTTACATTCAGTGATTTCTCATGATGATCATTCCAAGGTGGTTAATAATACTTACCTTTTCCTTCCTCCAAAATAATTGCCGGGTTGGGATTTTCATATTTATTAAAATAATTTGTAGTATAAATAAAAATTTAATCCGATAATCATTTTAGAACAAAAAGTATTAAGTTTAGGGCATTCACAACAATGGTAAAATTGGTGTGTAATGTCAGGACAAAATACACAATGCTCCGTTGGAGGCCGTTCAATTGTGCCAAGCGTTGAGAAAATTTGAAGTGGTATAATCTGTCAAATGTGGGCGCTGACGGGCCCATCTCATGGCCGATGCCCCATTCATTTTTTTTTGTTTTATTTCTTTTTTTTTAAAATTTTTTTTTAAAATCTGCTCCTTTTTCGTCTTCAACGTCAAAAACAAAATATATTGATGTTTGTGGCTGTTATAAGCCCTTTTTTTTGTCTTCTTCACAGCATCTCCAAAAAAAAAATTTCTTTATTTTAGTTGTCAAATTTGTGGCCATAGAAATTTTTTGAACGTTGAAAAAACTAGCCGTTTCTAAATATTTGCACTATAATTTGATAATTTTTTTAAGAGAATAATTTATGATTTTGCCTATAAATACCCCCAATATTGATTTTCATAACACACCACTTTCTCTATTTTTCCTCTCTTCTATACTTATAGTTCTTTCTTTACTACACATCAACTATTCAACTTTTTTCTTCTATTTTCTACTACCATGAGCCGAAAAAAAAGTAACAAAAATCATCCTACAAACAATGCAAATCTGCCTCACAATTTTCCAAATTCCCCCCGCCCCCAAAATTTTCATCCTAATATGCAAAATTTTGGATATCCTCAAAATTTGGGTACCCCAAATTTGCCTCCTTATGTCCCAAATCCATTTGTGATGTATTAACCACCCGGTTATTTTTCTCAAATGATTGGAAATAATTTTTCAATGGGATTTACAAATACGGGTTCGTCTTCCGGAAGTCTACCTACACCGGTTTCAACAAGAGGAGACGTTCGAGACGATGACTCTCCAAATACAACGCCAAGGGCATCAACTCCCCAAGATTATTTTCCAAAATTTTCAACTCAATTTGGTTTGGATAATATTTCTTTATCGCAAGCACCAGAAAAAGAAAATACTTCAAATTATCAAGGTTGGAGCAAGGAGGAAGACATACTTCTGGCTCGTGCATGGCTCACAGTTTCTAACTGTAGCGTTACAGGAAACTATCAAGATATGAAGGAATTTTGGAAGAAGATTACTACCTACTACAATGCAAACCGAGGATCTTTACCACAAAGAGAACAAGGTAAGTTAAAGTCTCATTGGTTTTGGTTTTCAAAGTATGTCAATGAATTTAACAACAACATCAACGTGCTCAACCAATCTCCTCTGTTTAACGATGTGTTACACGGGTATGTTCCTGATATTCAATTTACTATAAATGGTACTCAATATAGCCGAGGTAATTTAGCTGATGGTATACATCCGGAGTGGGCAACATTTGTGAAAAGTTTTACATCTCCAGTGGATTCTAAGAGAAAACTCTTCAAAAAGGTGCAAGAAACAGCAAGAAAAGATGTTGAGCGAGCATTTGGAGTGCTTCAGTCCCGTTGGAATATTTTACATATTCCATCTCGATTGTGGGACAGAGCATCGGTTAACGATATAATGTATACTTGCATCATATTACACAATATGATAGTTGAGGACGAGGGCGATGAGGCAACAAACTGGACTGATGATGCGGGCACTCAATTTTTGCATCATCAAGAGTTAATCCCTAATATACAACAATACATTCAAAGGAATGCAGAAATACGCGACCGCGAAGAACACCATCAACTACGATCAGATTTGGTTGAGCTCATCTACGAACGTTTTGGAAATGATTTTGATGAAATGTAGTGTTGTTAAATTATTTTTAGATATTTTTAGATTTTCACTATCTCTATAAACATCGTCTAGAAGTGAAATTTCATTATTGTTATTTTTTAAATTAATTATTGTACTTTATTAATATATTGTTCACTCAATGATTATTAAGCTTTTTTATAATCTTGTGTTATTTAATTATGTTTTTAGATTTTTAAAAAAATAATAAAATTTTATAATGTAATTTAGAAGTCATATAAACAAAATAATTATGAAAAATAAATTTAATTATTATTACAAGTACATGTAATTATTTTTTATAAAAAGTAAAGTATTAATAGTAGGATAGGTGTGGGGTAATAATAGTGGGGTAGTTGTGGGTCCAAAATTATATAGGTAGTGACTGTAATATTATTGTAGGAAAAAGTGTGTAAAGTGAGAGTGTAGTGGAATGCTGACGTGGTAGTGTAATGTTGTGTTGAATTATATGTATTGTTGTTGATGCTCTTAGTCATTTCATTACGCATTTAGATGTTGATGGTGCTAGAGATTTTTGTTTGAGATGGTGCTTCAATGAAAAGCATAGCTTCATTGATTTGGCTACATTCTTATTGGCCCGTTTGAGTCGGGTCATGTTCAAGTGACATGAGAGAAAAGTTACACTAACCGATATTATGGAAAAACAACCCAATAATTTTGTCTGGACCTCCTAGACAGATATTATGTGGCTCCAATGTTAAACTCTTGTCACGTTTACAAGATTTCCATTAAAAACAAATACCAAAAATTAGAAAAAAAAAATTCAGCGAAATCCACAATTTTGTGATCATGTGGAAAGTGCAAATCCTCCTGCTCAAAGAATATTTGCAATGCATTGTGAGTGCGGCCCCTGATTAGCAACAATAGTATAATGCTAAATACTAACAATAGAAAAATAGTAAATAATTATACAAAAAAAAAGGATGAATCAATTAGTAATGAAAACTTTCCCAGGTAGTAATATTTATCCAATTATGGCACTTTGCAGTTTTATCTATCATTCAACTTTGCTGACAATAAGGCAAGTTAACCCTCGATATTTTACATGAGGTCTACATGATTGGAATGAATTAATAAGGGAGAAAACTAGCCAAAGTGTTTCTTTTAGAATTCCGGTGTTCACAAAAAAAAAGATTCCGGAAATTGATTAGGCCCCTACGGAGATTTTCTATTGGCCTTAGCGATCTCTCTCCCAAATTGCAAGTTAGCTTCACATTGAGAACTAGTAGGTTCATTTTCTGTGTTTCAGCACAGAAATGAGACTCAGAATCGTGAAAAAAAAGAGAATGAAACCCCAACCATAGTAGTAAGTATCGTACAATACGCAATACGTATCACGATTTGATAACTATGCTCCCAACATAAAACAAATCAAACGATTTTGGATGAGTTCAAAAATCTACATCTAAAGCCTACCAATTTTAACACTGACCAATTTAGAAGATGAAGATTAACTGTTGCGGATTTTCGATTATATATATATATATAGCAAAGATGGGGGAAGCAACATCCTAATTTAAGAAAGAAAATTTTGACATAATTTTTTAGTTGGAGGAAAACGAATAGTCTAAAAATGTTACCGAAAATGTTTTCTGATTTTGGTATCTTAGAATTCTCGTGCTTTCTCGTAAATCCCCCATGATTATTTGGGTTCTTTGAAACTATCATCTGGAAAGAAGATGAGTAGCATGAATATATAGCGGCTTCTTGAACAGATTTCAAACCAAAAGGTTAGAAAATTTTGAGATCAATAGAGCTAGGTTTTTTTTAAAAAAATAAATAAAGCTAGTTTATCTTCCTCTAATGCAAACATGGATGACTCCATATTTTTATTATTTTTTTGCGCATGAAAAATTTATCTGATTTAGTGTGTTGTTTATACTTTACAGTGTTGTCAGATTCCTTGTTTTTATGATAGCCTTTTTGTTTTTCGTTTTTTTTTTTTTGAAAAAGGTGTAGTTATGATAGGCTTTTTGTTTTTATGATAGGCTCGATTTGTTGTAACATTGTTATTTTCTTTTAAAAATAAAATATACTGTCTTGGTCCTTTTTATGTATGTCGAAAACTTTTAATCACTGTAGGAAATAATTTCTCAATTCAGCCATGCGGCAAATCCTAGTGGTGATCATCTCTAATCTCTAATGTTCCTCCCGGGTCAAATAATAGTTCTTTTTTATTAAAAAGAATAGTCTAATTTATTGCATTAATAAATTAGTCAAATAATGTAATTTCTTTTTATGAGGGGGAGAAAATAACTAAACAATTAATTAACGAGTTCTTTTATGTCCAGTTTAGAAATTTTATCTATTTTATAATTATTATAGTCTGGACGAGTTCTTTTTTTTATTATTTTATTTTGTTCTTTTCTTTTCTTTTCTTGTCTCTTTTTTTTTTTGTTCACAGAGTATAATGTTGCATATACATTACCATCTTTTTTTGCCTTCCATTCAAACCTTTTCTACAGTTTTATTAATCGTGTCATTATTGGGATTCTCTTTCTTCTTGTTTCTTCCTTCTCATCATTCATTCATTTCCCCACCCCCTGAATAATCACAATAGACATGTCTGATTTAGACAAGACATATTCACCGTTGGTATAGAGAAGCATCTGAGTTCACAAAATTTCCATCACTTGTGGGGAAAAGAACCAAAAAAAAAAAAAAAAACAACGCGTGCGAATTATGGGCCAAGGGATTACACAAAATCTGCAGCATTAACAATTCTGGTGGTCTCAAAAAATTACAATGTGCAAGTTGAGTCTGATTGATAGGTGTTGGCCGGCCAATTAATCTTTCTGTAATGATGTTTTCTCAAAAAAGGAAAAAAAAAAAAAAGAAAGAAATTATTCATGCTAAATATGTGAAAAGATATCTCATCTCTCCTCGTAGACATCTAACTCCGAGTCTGCTACGAAAGAGTCAATCTATTTCCAGTCTATACGATTCTTCAGTTAATGAAAGCTAATTCCAAAATGGTGAAGAACATATGTCTGTGATTTTAACATTTTAATTAACAGTAGTGGGTTTGGTCGTTGCGGATATTTTTTGAAAAAATAACCGTATATTAATTAAGAAATATCTAAACTATTATATCGCATTCTATAAAATTCTAAATTATGTAATTTTACAACATCTTAGCTACTCACTTTAATCAGTGAGCAAGACTGAAATAAAGAAATACTAGTAACTAAAAAAAAACCACCTCCTGGATTTGGTCGATACGGGTTGATGCGCAAAAGGTATTTTTTTTAGGTTGTAATATTATTGATCTGTCAAAAGTTAGTTTAATTCATTGGAGGCATTCAAATCGGGCTTGACGGATGGTATGGATCTAAAGGAGATGATGCATGTGGGGGTTAGGAATTTGTCAATGCAACTACAGCATTTCACTAGATGTTATTGTGCGGGACATTTTACATTTTTGTTTGAGGTTTTTTATACAAAATAAAAATGTATCACATATGTATAAATCTTATGAAATATTAATTATTAAAATTTTGAATAAAGAAAAATACAATACATAAATAAATTATATATATTTACTTCTAGAATCAAAATATTAATTAAAGGTGGGTAAAAGAACGGAATGTTGGATAATTGTTTCAATAAACAAATGTATATTGTAATTGTAATTTATTTATTTTTTAAAAAAGGACAAATTATAAATTGTTAATGCAAAATTAATTTTACTGGGTCAATTTCTTAATCATGTATACTTATGAGGACTTTTTCTGATATTACAGAAAGTTACTTATTTTTGGATTAATGAAATAATGCCAATAAAATTCTTTATGCCACTCTAGAAAAGATCAACTAGTTTCTCTCTCTGATTTCTCTATTAGAATGCATTTTTTTAATAGAAAAGAAGTTTCAAAGTTTGAAAATAATCAAAAAGAGATCCCCATAAATGTTTTTTTAAAAAAAAGAAAGGAAAAGGATATATTAAATTAAGCCGAAAAATTACACATAGATTGGTAATAAGCAAGCCTATGTACCTCTTTTAGTTGGTTCTATCAACTTTTACTATACTACATCTAGAGAAACGGTTTTTAAGCTGGATAATCTATCCTATAAGGGTTTGGGATTCTACAGGAAAATCAAATTGACGCAAACTCTGTGCTTCAAGTGCACTACAATCCGTGTGCAAAATTATGTTGGAAAGCCCCAGTTCAAGTGCTGCGTGCATTGCCATTTTACACGCCATTGCCTCAGCTTTGTGATGCTGAAAGCGCATGGATGGTGACGATGCACGGATATGCGCCGCCGGTTTAATGGTGGAACTCCGCCTAGGGTTTCCTGCGCGTGGATGGTGACGATGCACGGGATTGCTCGAAGGTTTAGGGAAGTAGTATGTTTGGCTTATAGATTGTGTACCTGAATTGTGGTATGAGCTACCCTATTTATAGGTGTGAGATTACCTGGACAATTCCGAATCCAACTAGGTTTTAGGGATTTACACCGTCCTAAGAGTTCCAGTTGGACTCTTCTTGCGGTGAGTGGGCCGGTACAATCTCGGTCATGAATCTGGACTCGTCAAGTGCCCCTGCCAAGTGTTAGTGACATAGAACAAAGCAACGCTTGGCATAAAATGAGTATTACCTGAGACATGCCCGAGAGTGGACAGATCGCCCTCGTTCAGCTAATTGTCGAGGCATATGCCTAACAAGCTAGGTACTGACACGCCACCCTCGACCTCGGAGGATCGAAAGGAACCGGCGGGTCGGGTCGCGACCCGGGAAGGCGACCCGCTTCCCCAATCCCGCTCAAATTTTCAATTGTGCGTTATTAGCGGGCACGTTCCCCAAACGACAGCCTCAACATCATTACTCCCTTGAAACCCGCAATAACTGCCAAATCGTGGCCCATAATTAAGGATACGTGGGAGAATCAACTTTGCGTTTAAAAGAGAAAAAACTTCTACTATTCCTGGACACTTAATCATTTCTTTTCTCTGCAAAAAGCACAAAAATCTTCTCCTTTGCAAAAAGCATTCCAGCCCCCATTCCGCTCTTCCTTTCCAGAGCACCCGAAGTCCTTTCCCGGCCGGAATTTCCACAATTTTACCTGATATACTGCCCCGGTGACGTTGTTTCCAGGGGAGCTCCAAATTGAGGCTTCTAGACAACACTGGGGAGTTATAATTCGAAGTGCGAGTGGTCACGTCCCCCTTACACAGTAAGTTTCCAGATCTGAATCTCTGATTCGTTCCGTTTCCTTTTCTACTGTAACCAGAGTAGATCTTTAGCAGAATTATGGTTAGGGATTTCGAAGGAAAAACTGTTCTAGACTTTGTTTCTACCATAGACTCGGTGGATAAGGTAGAAAATCTCAGATCCAAGTATGACTTCCCCTCCGCCTTAGAGGCGAGAGCTCCGTTAGGAAACGAGAGGGCCAACTCTCCTCCAAGGGGAAGAATTACTGTGTATGATCGATTCATTCATCTAGGGCTTAGATTTCCCCTTTACCCCCTGTTTGAGGAGATTGTTCAACATTATAGGACTCCTCTCGCTCGTTTTATCCCAAATTTAATTACATTTGTACTGGGGCTTGTGAGAGTGTGCCAATATGTAAAAGTAGTTCCTCGATTGATATTATGGAGGTACTTTTTCCAAGTAGTTGTGGCCTCGACTTCTTTCCAAGATTGGTATATAGTTAAAAGACGCCTTAGAGCCGGCGTGAAGAAGATGGTCGAGGCGTACGGCTGTTCTCCGGAATGGAAGCCGGATTTTTGTGTTTGTAAAGGCGCCTGAAAGTTATTGTCTGCCATGGAATCTCTGTGAGACAGAAGGCCTTGGGGCCATAAAAGATGAATGGACCCCAGAGGATGAAAAGTGTGTCGAGGAGTTCCAGGCAGATGTTGAGAAAATTCAGAAATACTCGAACGTCGTTAAGTGGAACGACGTCCAATACAATGTGCCCCCTGCATATGTGAAGGAAGGTGATACGGTCATTGCCGAGGGAGCAACCAGAATTCCCCTTGAAATCTCTGATCAAGGTACTAATCGTTTTCTTCTTTTTTTTCTTTGTTGTTAGGTCATGTCGTCGAGCAATGCTGGGTCTCGATTGTTTGGTGACGAAGATCCTTTTGCCATTGTGAATTCAGATGAGGACGTTACTGTTACTGCCGCCCCTCAGAAGAAAAACAAGAAAAAGATCGTGAAGGTGGGTGATAGGGCAAAATCCAAGAAGGCCATGACGGATGTGCCCCCGAAGGAAACTGCCCAACCAAGCGTCGAGACGGTGCCCGTTGCCACTGAGTTCGTGCAGAAAACTGTACCGAAGACAGGGCCAAGTATAGTTCCTCCTGGGGTAGGGAAAGGAAAGGGCCCTCTCGAGGGAGAGGCCGTAGTCTTGCCTCCCCAACTGTTTGAGGGAGGTCCGACTGTGGCAGTTCATACCTTCAGCAACCCCCCTTCAATCGAGTGTCCTATTCTCGAGGAATTCGCTGCCCAACTGAATGAAGCTGACAGCTTGCGGCTGGTAAGCAAAATTTTTTTTTTTTTTCAAATTATGTCGTAAACGCGCCGCGGATGTCCATGTGTCTCTAATATGTTGTGTTGGTTCAGATGAGTGCAGCCTCGATGGCCTACTTAGTGCAGCTGAGGAAACTTCGAGAGGACTTGGTAGCAGCAAGGGCAGAAAGGGACGAGGCGTTGTTCGAGGTGGTTACCCTCGAAGAGAAGGTTCGCCAAGTTCAGGCCAAGGAAGCAGAGATTGTTGAGGTGCAGGCCAAATATGACGAGCTCGACGAGAAGATGAAGTCATTTGCCAGCCTGCATATCTCCAACGAGGAGCTCCACCAATGGTGTACCGCCTTTATGTATAGAATGATGTCCACGGGCGGAATGGTGGCAGCTCTCGAGGAGGTGAACTTGGTTGCCACCATGTGTGGTGCGCACCGAGTGGGCGTGGCAGGGTTGAGGAGGCTCGACCAGGATAGGCCAATTAAGGCCAAATGGTTTAAGTAACTCTTGATGAAGGACCCAAAGAAAACCATGCACGAGGCCATGGTGAAGGTTTTGACGAGGTTGAGCCTTGAGCAGCTCCCTCTGTGGGGAGCTTTGACCGGTGCCATTCCCAAGATGAGTTCACTTGCGGAGATTGCCTCGTTTCCAAGCGACGTCCCTGCTGTCCTGGCCAAGGGTCCAAGTGAGGAAGACCCCATCCCCAAGGTTCTTGACGAGTATATGGGCATCGAGCTCGAGGATGCTGATGAGGAAGCCGAGGAGGATGTTGCTGATACCGGTCACTCCGGAGTTCAGAGAACCGCTGAGGATGCCTCTCAGGCCCCTTCCAAGGACCCTTCCAATGATCCTTCCAATGATCCTCACCCAGGCAGTGATGCTGTATGAATCCTGCCTTCTGTAATAGTTTTTAGGCCATTCAAACTTTTTTCTTTCTGTTGGATTGAATTAATTTTTCTTTTCTTGCACAGATTTATGCAAACGTCTCTTTTCGCTCTAGTTTTTTGTCCTCTGTGTTCTTTCTATTTGGTTTGATGTGAGTGCTTTATGCTCCTCTGGTGAAACAGGAAAGTTGGAGCGTTCACCGCGTTCACCACATGGTGTTATCAGGGGAGCAATCGAGGGAGTTCCCATTATATTCCATGATAAGCGGGATTCTGAGAAGTCGTGCTGACGTGCACAACCTCGAGACAGTGGCGCATTTGGAGAATGACATGCTCGATGCCATGAGGACGCACAACGTGAAGGTTAACCAGCATCTAATAAACGAGATCAAAGGACTTCGTGAGGAGATGCAGCGTCGAGAGGTTCAAAGCCTGAGAGACCATAGTGATTCTTTGACTTTCGAGGCCGAGATTCATGATGAGCTGGTAACCATGGAGAAGGAAAATGCTCGGCTTAGGGCAAGACAGCAGATTACTGTGTCTCCCTGGTTTCTCGAGAAGCACCAGGTTTTAGCTCGAGTCCAGCACATGATTATGGTCAGGACTTGCCAGTTCGCTGCCATGGATATATTGAAAGAGAGGTCTCTTGAAATGGAGCTTCTTACAAATTAGATTGCTCAACTCCAAAATCTTTTGCTGGATAACAACATCGACTTCGAGGCTTTCGAGCGTCCGGAGGAGACAGTAGATCCTCGAACTCGGAGTTCTCGAGAGGAATTGTTGATGAGGGTGCACGCTCAGGATACAAAGATCATGGACCTTAAGGACAAATTAAATCAGTGTGTGAATCTCCTTAGCCTGCACGGGTATAAGGGGATTATTTATCCCTTCCCCGACAATCTTATCAGGGAGGTTCTTGTAATAGTGTAGAAAATATGTACTTTTCTGTGAGTTCGCACAGCAATATGGAACGAATGTTTATTTTACTCGAGTATTGGTTTTTAAAGCGCTTTTTAGGCCGGATGTAGAGTACACGGCTCTATCATAGGAATTGGGTACGAATTCCTTTACTTGACACTGCGTTTTGCTATGTGCACGAGGAAAGTTCCTCAAGTTTATGTCCAGATGTTGAGTACACGGCTCTTGATCGAGGATGGCCCTAAAGAGGGAGTCCATCTCGATGACTAGTCATAAATGCGTTGTTATAATTGGGGAGAATATGTAATGTCTTTTATTGAATAATTACCCGAGGATCCGGGTTAGCATTACATATGAGAGTATAAGACTGACTGGGTAAAGTAAGTAAAACACATAAAGGGCAAATAGCGGACAAGGGATTAAACATAGAACCTGCGAGGATTTTAGATGTTCCACCATCGAGGAAGGATGGTTCCGCTATCATCCATGGCTTGTAGGCGGTAGCAGCCTGCTGGGGAAGTATGGATAACCTTGTAAGGTTCTTCCCAATTTGCAGTAAGTTTTCCAGGGCCTTCTGCTCGACTGGCCTCGTTTTTTCTTAGTACGAGGTCACCCACAGCGAGATCCGTGGCTTTCACCTTCTTGTTGTAATGTCTGCGAAGAGTCTCTTTATATTTGGCCTCTCGGATTCGGACGGCGTCTCGACATTCCTCAAGTAGGTCAAGGTTTAGTCGGATGTCATCATCATTGGTACTCTCGATGACGTTTGCGGTTCGAGGACTCGACAGGCCGATCTCGACAGGGAGGACGGCGTCCATACCGTAGACTAAGCTGTACGGCGTCTCGTCGGTTGAGGAGTGGGCAGTTGTCCGGTATGCCCACAGGACGTGGGGGAGTTCGTCGGCCCATGCCCCCTTGGCGTCATACAACCCGATCTTGATTCCATGCAGTATTGTTCTGTTGATGGATTCGGCATGCCCGTTGGCTTAGGGATCGGCTACGCTTGAGAAGCGGCGTTCGATCTGCATTTCATTGCACCATGACCTGAAAGTATTGCTCTCGAACTGGGTCCCATTATCGGAGACGATAATCTTCAGGATCCCAAAGCGGCATACTATGTTCTGCCAGAAAAAATCCAAGATTTTTCTCCCGGTGATCGAGGCCAAGAGTTTGGCTTCTACCCATTTAGTGAAGTAATCTAATGCTACAATGACCCATCTTACTCCTCCTACTCCTTCTGGATGAAAGGGGCCGATGATATCAGTGCCCCATTGGTAGAATAGCCATGGGCTTTGAATGGTGACCATCTCGTGTTGTGGCTGTCGGGTGATGGGGGAGAAGCGCTAGCATTTCTCGCATTTTTGTACCCATTGGTAGGCGTCTTTAAATATTGTCGTCCAGAAATATCCTACTCGCAAAGCCTTCTTGGCGAGTGCTCTTGCTCCCGTATGAGCTCCACATGATCCTTCCTGTACTTCTTTGAGTATGTAAGCTGCTTGCTTTGGGCCAATACATCTTAGCATGGGTAGCAGGTATCCATGCTTGTATAGGATGCCGTCTCGCAATGTGTATTTGGCCGCTTTTAATTGGAGGATCCTGGCTTCTGCTTTTCCATTCGACAACATCCCATCTGTAAGGTATTGGATGAAAGGGGTCATCCAAGTTCGCCGTCCTCGACGACGGCCGCTACGAGGACGTCCTGGATACTGGGATTGGGGAGAACTTCGACCCATACTTTGTGGCTGAGGTGTGCAAAGTTCGAGGAGGCCAGCTTGCTGAGGGCGTCGGCTCTTCTATTTTTCGAGCGGACTATGTGGCATACGGTGCATTACTCGAATTTGTCCTTGATGTCAAGGACCTTCTCGAGGTAGCGCTTGAGTTGCTCGTCGTTTGCCGTGTATTCTCCCGATATTTGTTTCACCACTACTTGAGAATCACTGAAAACTTGTATTTTGCGGACCCCAAGTTTTAGTGCCATGTTTAACCCTACTATCAGTGCCTCATATTCTGCTACATTATTGGTGACCGAGAAACCGAAGCTCAGCGCATATGTATATTCCACGTCGTACTCTTTCATGTTCTCAATGTCGGGATCGGCCGGAGGTTTGGATAATATGATGCCGGCTCCTCCCCCTTCATCGCAGCGCAATCCATCAACGTATAGTGACCATGCTCGAGGGTTGATGTGGACGCGAGTAGTGGGGTCGTCTTTAGGCTCTGCCATTCCTTTGACTTCGATAGCTCGAGGCGTTTCTACTAAAAAATTGGCAAAGGCCTGCCCTTTGATGGCTGATCGAGGCTTGTATTCGATATGGTGCTCGCCTAATTCAACTGCCAATTTCATCATTCTGCCGGACGCTTCTGGTTTTAGCAGGACTTGCTGAATTGGTTGTTCCGTTAAAACCATGATGAGGTGTGCTTGGAAGCATGGGCGCAGACGTCGTGCGGCCAAGACTAGGCTGAGGATAAGCCTTTCCATGGGTGTGTAACGGATTTCTGCTCCTTGCAAGACTTTGCTAACGAAATAGACGGGGAGTTCTCTACCGTCTTTGCGCTGTACGAGGACCGCCGAGACAGTTTTCTCTCGGGCTGCTAAGTAAACGTATAATGTTTCTCCTGGCTCAGGCTTAGCTAATGTGGGCAACTGCTTGAGGTGCTCTTTTAGGTCTTGGAAGGCTTTCTGGCATTCTTCATTCCACTCGAATTTTCTGCCTTTGCGGAGGGTATGGAAAAATGGGAGGCTTCTTTCTGCGGCTCGAGATAGAAACCTGTTTAGGGCTGCCAAGGAGCCTGTGAGTTTCTGAACTTCCTTGACGGTTTTTGGAGTTTCCATGGCTAAGATAGCCTCGATTTTAGCCGGATCAACACTTAATCCAGCCTTGGAGACTTGTTAACCTAGGAATTTCCCTGACCTTACACAGAAAGTGCATTTTTTAGGGTTCAGCTTCATGTTAACCTTGCGTAATATTGTGAAAATCTCCCGCATGTCTGTGGCCACTTGCTCATCCCTATTGGTTTTTATCACCATGTCGTCCACGTAAATCTCGATGTTCCGGCCGATCTGGCCATGGAAGACTCTGTTCACAAGACGCTGGTATGTGGATCCAGCATTTTTTAGTCCAAAGGGCATCTTGTCGTAGCAATATACTCCTATCTCGGTGATGTAAGTTGTCTTTTCTACATCTTCCTGTGCCATGAGGATTTGATGATATCCCTTGTAGGCGTCAAGGAAGCTGAGGACTCTATACCCAGCAATACCCTCCACCATTTGATCTATGACTGGTAGAGGGTAGCAGTCCTTGGGGCAATGTTTATTGAGGTTTGTGTAGTCTTGGCACATACGCCAGGAATTGTCGGGTTTTCGTACTAAGGCTGGATTGGCTAACCACGTAGGCCATAAAACTTCCCGGAGTATGTTGGCTCGGACTAGCTTCATCGTTTCCTCGTTGATGACATCGTTATGTTCTCGAGCGAATACTCTTTTCTTCTGTTGTACTGGTTTGACATTTGGATCAACATTTAACCTATGTTCTATGACTTTCCAAGGGACTCCTGTCATGTCCGCCGGGGACCAGGCGAATATGTCTTGGAACTCGCGTAGCAAGGCGCTGATCTCGGCTAGCAAGGGGTCTTGGAGAGAAACCCCAATTTGGACGGTCTTGGTGGGATCAGACTCATTCAGGACTAACCCTCGCGTCTTGCTACTGATCGAGGGAAGGCTGGGTGTCTCGGTGTTATCTACCCCTGGTGGGTTGACCGTTTGTCGAATCGAATAGCATTCTGACACGGCGGACCCTGGGTTAAGGTATGCAGTTTTCTTTCCAATTCTGACTGCGGTGAGCAAGCATTCTCGAGAACTCCGCTGGCATCCTTTCACTACTCCTACTCCATATTCCATTGGGAATTTCATTACCAATTGATAGGGAGACCATACCGCGCGTGCTTGGCACATCCAAGGTCACCCTAGGATCACATTGAACCGCGATGGCGCATCTATTAGGGCGAAATCCATGGTCAAAGTGACTGTCCTAAGATGCAACCCTACCGAGATGGGTAGGCTAATTATTCCTGTGGGGATAATGGTGTGTCCTGAGAATCCCATTAGTGGCATTGTAGCTGGGCGGATGAAAGGGTTTTTGATGTTCATTTTCTTGAAGCAATCACTATATATGATGTCCACCGCGCTGCCGTTGTCCACGTAAACCCTTCCGACTTTTACATTTCCGATTATTTCTTCTATGACCATAGTGTCACTGTGGGGACAAATGTCCGGGACTACATCGCTATCTGTAAATATGATGGCCTCTGTTCCTTTGAATCTCTTGTGGCTAGGTTCTTGTCGAGGGGTTTTGGTGACAGTTCATAATGAGTTTTTCATGGCTGTCATGGATAAGTTTTCAAGGAGCTCCATAAATAGCTCCTACCTGGTGAGTGATTAGCTTTGTTGGATCTGTTGGGGGGAGTTGCTGCAATGGCTATGGCGTTGGTTTAGCGATGGGATAATGCTGCTGTTGTTGGGCATTGACTCTTGGTTGCCAATTATTTCCTCGGCCATCCCGCCGTGGCGGGCCTCTGAAAAATTTCTTTTTGGGTGTTCTCGTGACTGGGGTCTGTTATTCTTCTGTCGGGAAGCTGTTCCCTGCACATATTGCTGAAATTTCCCAGATTTCACCCCGTTCTCGATTTCACGTTTGAGCTCTCGACAATCCTCTGTGTCGTGGTCGTGATCTTTGTGATATTCGCAGTATTGTTCG